CCAATACCCCATAAAAGACGATTTTGCAAGAATGGAGTCATTATGACAATCTTAAATGCAAAACATCATTGTGAAACCTGGCCCATCAACTAAACCAGCACCGTAGTCGAATAACCATGGCGTCCAGATAATTCTCTGCTTTTGGTGGGAACAGATTACCATGCTTGATTCAAAAGGTTCATGTTTATTTTGGAACGCAACTTGTAGAAAACAATTTGAAAACTTCGGACTAACTGGAAGAAAATTATCCCCTAACAAGAGCGTGAGATAAAAAAAACAAAAAAAAAATTTCTGATGATTACAAAAACTTTGTTCAATATTGAATAACACTACACTACAGATAATAACAAGCAAGTCATGCAAAAACTTCAAAAACACATACTCTTCAAAAACCATAAAGCACAAAAGTCATCATCAAAATTGAATGTCCTTCAATGCTTCGCGGTTACACAAAATACTTATGCGTTTTGTTTTTGAATTTCGTAAAAAAGGCTTTCTTTTTTGCGGTAAAACATATCTTCATATATCGCTCACGTACATAGCTACTTACAGGATTGGCAAATACTTTTTGAGCTTCAAATGTGTAAATAGCAAACATAGCCACATTGCAGATTAGCAGGAATGTGACGATTTGACGGCCCGGTTTGCTGCGATCATGCTCGGGCAAGTGGACGCGACGACGCGAAACATCGGCAATGAAGAGCAATTGCAAGATCACCTGGAATACCGCGACGGCGCTTGTGGTCATGACTAGAAGATTCGGTTCGCTTTCGAGCGCCTTCAAACTGCCGGCGATGACGCCAAATATCGAATAGGTGAAGAGACCGAAAGCGGAAATGCGTAGCAGAATGTCATTGAGATTGGATTGCTCTTCGCAGCGGAATTTCAGATTTTTAACTCTACAAGAGGGCGAAACAAACTTGTTTAAAATCTTTACAGGATGTTTAATAATTTCTAGCTTACCTTATAAAACCGATGATTATGGCGAGCACGGCGAAGGCCATGAGTATGCAATGACTTGCGTCGGCAAGGTAAATTGCTAGCAGCGAGAACTGCTGATGACGCACCAAGACGAAGAAGAGTATCAGGCAAATCAAAGCACCTACCAACAACAACAGACCAAAGAATAACCCTTTTGACGAACCCACACAATCGACACGTCCCGAACGTGCCTGATGAGCCATTGCGACAGCGCGACGCGACAACATCACTTCCAAACGATGCTCCAAATCCTCATCGTTCATGCGACCTGGATAACGACCAATATGCTTCCACATTACATACAAAACAACCGCACCGATTAGTGAGTATTCGATAATGAAGGGATACAGGAAGGGTGCTGAGTCGTAGACAATAGTACCCATAATATCGACACGTCCGCAAGCGGTCGAATTCAATGTGCCAATGTTCGATGAGAGTGCGGCGGGATAGATATTATCAAGACTCTCCAAACTGTCGAAGCTCACAACGCCAGTCGATTCAGGGTGCGAGATTTCCGAATAGGTTTGGAAGTTATTCATGCCAGGACCCAGTAAATTAGTCATTACATTCAATGCATTTTCGGTGGTGGTGGAGGGTGTGCTTGTGGTAACCGTGGTGCTAGGCGTGGACGAAACTAAATTACTAAAGAACGAAGCAATGCCCGTACCAAAACTGGTGGACACCGATTCGGCGGTTGTTGAAGCTAAGTCGACTGTCGGGCCATGTGTAGAAGACGCCAGATAATCGGTGGCGACACTTGGGGCAGCAGTCGTAAAGGCCGAGTGTTCAAAATGATGTCGGAAGGGTGTCTCAGTGGTCGTAGTTGTTGTTGTCGTGGTGGTAATAGGGCTGCTCGCCAGCATTGTGGTGGTCGACGGTGTGGTAGGCGTTGTGCCCAACGTGGTGGTCGTGGCAGCTGTTGTGCTCGTGATAAACTTCTTCAACTTGCGTGCCATAGTAGTGCTTTGCCACTGATACGATGGTGTGGTGAAATAGGGACGTTGGGTAGTAGTGGTAGTGGTGGTGGTGGTGGTTGAGGTCAATGGTTTGGTGGTGGATGTAAGCAGCGTGGTGAGCGCTGCATTGGCATTAGCGCCCGCAGCAGCGCCCATGCCCAGCGACTTGGAGATGCCATCAACAGTTTTGCGCACCAATTTCGAGAGTACATTGTCGGTTTTGTAGGCATTGGCGGGCAGTAAATCCTCGCCGTCCAGCACCTCAAATTCCTCATTCGGACCGGCGTGGGTGCGCAGAACTGTACCAGCATGACGTAATGCATGTTGACGTATGGACTTGGCAATGGACGAGGCTTCGGGATCGGGGTCACGACGTTGATGATAAAGTGTGATTTCGAGTAGTGATTCCTTGACCAACGTACGTATCCAAACGCAAATATTTGTGGCCACAACATGCATGAGGCCAAAACGTGCAATCACCTTGAAACGATGGATGTTGAGCTGAAATCGTAGAGGAGTAAATTTCATCAAATTTTTGACAATACGAGGGGTTTGATATTTCTTCAAAACATAAATGTTTAAAAAGCCATTGGGTTCAAGATGTTAGTGTACATTAATGGTAGGTGACATGAAGCATTGATATATGGAAGTACTGTACCTGATAGGGCGGCCTAGTCTGCATATGAAAGAATTTTGTTCGAGAAAATGTAATTAAAATTTTGTTGGGTGAATTTGGAAAATATTTTAATGCATGCAAGGAATTGGTCGAATATCGAATCATGCTTAAATCGATATTGTATGCAAAAATAAAAATATTTGTTAACTATTACAAAAAAGCCAGTTAGTTTGTCAACTGAAGCAAAGTTATACCCAAGTGGCTTTTTAAACTTATATTCTAAATATTGATACTTTGTTAATCCGTGTGTTGCGCTGTTAGTCTTTGCGACCGCTTAGTTAGTATAGCAAATAAAATTAACACTTCACTTCTAATAGCTTATAGTTTCAGATAAAATGTCTCTATATATGTCAGTATAAGTTTAGATTTCTTGAAGGCAACCTCGGTAAATCCTATTCTAAATGACTTATTCAATAAAATTTCTGGCTAACTATATTTGAAGATCACTAGACGTGGTTACGCGATGAGATATTTTTTCGATTGGTGAAATCGATAAAAAAAAATTCTAAATTGGATTTTCTTTTATATTTCTTTAGAGTCTTATGTCCATATATCCATTAGCGAATGTTTGGCAGTTGCGTGTTTACGACACAACAAGTTTCCAATGAAATGGCGGTCGAGGAATGGAGCCATATGTAGAAGTGCACGCAAGTGAGGAAAGTTCTCTGAGTTCAATTCAAATTGGAGTGGTCAGAAATGATTCATATGGCTCAAGCAGCTGACAACTTCCAGTCTTAAACCAAGTGGTATCGTCTGGGTAGCCAAAAAATACCCGTTTGAAGGCGAACTAAATTGAGAAGGCCAAACCCCTTCGCCAAGGTAGTGCGCTGGGTTTGGGACAAGCCACGGAAAAAACGTTCTCAATGTAAAGAAGAAAACATAATCGGATGAGAGACCTCCTTTTAATCCAAACTCTATAAGTCACTCATTATTCCCGTTCCGCTGATGATCCATCCAACATACTGATGTCGAAACATGGTTATACGAATATGCTGTTGAACTGCATGGCGCCCCTATAAATGAGCCGATATCGAAACAAAAAACAAAATTCGCTAAAGGCAAACAAGGCCATCACAGACGGGACTTATAACAAGTGTGTGGAACATTGGCAAATATAGTGACCTTTTTATATATCCTTGCCGATAGAAGGATCTTTTGGCCTTCGGATGCAGAACTCAAGTGGTGTAATATTATTGGCTATTATCCCAAGTGACAGCAGTATCAAACTGGCGAACTTCACCTAGAAGTTCAAGGTTACCCTTAGCAGTAAAAATGGCAATGGAGGAGCAGGCAGAGAGAGATATTGACAACAACTCCAAAGTATGCGCCATGACAAGTTGCTAAGAAGGGGTAACAAGGTCAGTTTTAAATATGTAAATAACCTCCTTAGTGACAAACTGAGGCTACTTGTCGCATTCTACACTGCCCACTGCAAGCTCGAGAAACACTTACATAACATGGACCTAGCTCCTTGTCCAAATTGCGGAATCTGTGACAGGAAGCCTGAAACTCCAGGTCACTTGCTAATTGCCTGCATAGAAATATACAGGCGCAGAATAAAGGTCCTTAGATAAATGTTTCCAAATAGGGATCATATCGTCTCACTTGCACCTAAGAGTATACTGGAATTTATCAATATGCTGGGTCTAGGTGGGTCATCGATTTATTTTATCTTTATCTAACTCATCGTAATTTATCCTGTTTCTTTAACCATGTTTGGCCTGAGCTAATGTCTTCAAAATTATATATATATATATATATATATTTTTTTTTTCTATACTAGAAGTATTTTCAAGTTTGCTCACAAAGAAATATTGCATTATATAGAGAATATGGTAACGTTGTTCGCATAAGCTTTTTTTATATATCTTTAAAAATCACATTTCGTATAATACATAATCTTAAAATCATCAGTGATTGTGTTTTTTTTCTGTTTTTGCAAGAGTAGGTATAGCTTCTTTGATAAAAATTATCGCAACAAAATTGTATGCTTTTACTCACTCTGGCATTCATGAATATGAAGTACATCTGCATAAAGGTGAATATCATCTGCAACAAGGGATTTACGCCAATCAAAATGTGATGACACGGTGAATCGAAAGGAATCTCGAAGAAAGAACCAAACTCCAGTCCAATGTAGATCATGCCGCCCAAACCAAAGGCTAATACGAAAGAAATATATTCAGTTATTAAGCTTTAATTTATTTTAATAAATGGCAAATACGTATTGACTTTAGTTTGTTAGTGTAGTTTCTAATTTAGTTTTCAAAACCAAAATTTGGTTTAAACGTTTGTTTATAACTTAATGTGTACATTTTTGTTATAAATTTAAATATTTGATTAGTTTATATTAAAACTAATTATTTCTTTACAACTTTATTTTCTAGTTTTCTGTGTCCGCATAAACTGTTATAACACTTGCACTTACCAATCGCGCCCACACGCAAGAAGAAGCTGCCGTGTGTGGGATCACTATGGGTTGTCTTGCGTTTGCGTACATTCTTCGTAGTGACAGCGACCTCGGCTTCAGCTTGTGAATCCTGTGAGTAATTAATTATTGAATTTAGTTTTTTATTACATCTTAAGGGATTAATATAAATACTGGATGCAATAGTAGTTCAAATGAAGAAAGTATAAATGTTAGTATGCCGAATTTACTCGGTTAGTTTGTCGGAGTTGTTTATAATATCTACTTGTAATGCAACCATGTGTTAAAGGATTTACTAGCAGTGCGCTTGATAGTGCGTTATGTGGTTTATTTAGTGTTATCAAGTGTTTAGTGTTATGTTTTCATATTTATTACCAATTCATTCCAACATACAATCACATACAAGACTTTATACATACATGAAAGTTATAGCGGTGCATACATATGTATGTGAAAAATTAATGACCTGATTTACTGATTTCCTTTTCGCGATAATATTGCACCCATGGAAGTAATGTCCATTGCAATGTCATGGTTGGTATTAAAATTTATTTATTTTTGACTTTTTTGGGTAAGTTTTTAATATGTTCATTCGTTTAGCTTTTTATTATATCTTCTTTAAACGAGTACAAATATTCCTACCATGTTGTGAGAGGTCTATGTCGTGTCTATCTAAGTAAGAGAACTTCAATTTTTAATTTTAAAAATACCTTCTCTTCAATTCATATGAACTTCCATAGATCCAAAACAAATTTGATAACCTTTCGCCTCAACGATGTCACAAAGTTGCCCCAAGCTTGGGAACGACGTGTGAGAGACTGATTTGGGTCTCCTTCAGTTATTGTGCTAGCGACAGCAATATTCTCAACACTACGGGCAATTCTTTCTCTCACTAGCACGGGAACATTTTGTGCTGTGTCTTTGGATTCAAATTTTTCCACTAGACGCCCAATTGTTGATCTGGCAGGACGATTATGACGACCATAAATTGAATGTAGCGCTTTTAAATCGGTGGAGTCACCGACTCCGAATTTCGGTATTAAATTTTAATAATTTCGACTCGTTGGTGGATCGTATATCTTTCCATGATAAAATGGCAAACTTTACTGAAGAGAAATGTTAAAAATGTCGTTTACTGTCCCCATCAGTCTATTTTTGTAGCGTCTCTAAGAAAAGACCCGATAGGGAATACAAGTCTATTGAAAATGAGCTGTTCTATTCTAAAGATTAAACTTTGCTATGACTAATGTATTTTGTTCTTTACGTCGACTTAAGACTTAGTAGGCTCCTTGGATATTTAAATTATCCGCTTTTCCCAAAAAATCTTAAAAAAATAATTACTTCTAAATGTTCTTTTAATAAACTTCCAAAAAAACTTTGGATGAACTATTTAACTCCACTTTTACTATTTTGGTTTGCTTATTATATTTCTTCTAACTGCCATGGGTCAAATAGGGTTTCATATAAATTAATTAGGAGCTTAAAAGTTTTCGGTTAGCATGGGGTTCTGCTGAAGAACCTATATGACCACTGCAATGTCGAAAGTACAGCTTTCTTTAGAGAGGTGTACGGACATAGTGTTCAAAACTTGTCACTTGAGTGTTTGACTTCTTTATCAATAGCATCAAGCTGTTTTGTTTTCTGAACTGTTTGGGGACCATGTAACATCAGAATCGCAGAAAACTTCCAAAGCTGGTGAACTTGTCAGAGAGGTTAGCCTTACCCTAATTTCATCAAATTGACAAGGAGTCGATATTCTGCTTACGTCTTTAGCTTTAATATTAAATTCATGGAGCTCTTGTGGATTTGGCAAGCGTTGGACAAGGACCAAAACTTGCAACTGCGAGATCCTAGTTCCAAGCGGAACCATGAGGCACTCAGAACTATTTGTTCTTAGAAAGATTTATCTCAACCTGGCCTGTCCAATAAGTTCAAGTAAGGTGAGACTACATATCATGTCGGATTGAAGCTGGTAAAAGTGTATGGAAGAATGCGAGTTGGAATCATCTATACACTTTCTTCTCCACTGTACAGCTTTGGCCAAACTGAAGTTGAAACAAAGCTTCGGTGAACATATCTTAGTTAGTGGGATTAATTTTAGTCTCCTTAACAAATTTTTGGCAGGCGTTGGGAGCTTCTTCGATCCATAAGTTCTCATGATTCATTTGAAGAAGTTTCTGTATCACAAACATCAACATCCAAACCTGTCCGATTAAACTTGTGCACAAACATAATCGAGATCTATGACGGTCCAGCCAGTCTCAATCCGAATGAAATGTTTCAAAGAGTAGTTGTTGTTTTCGTTGTTGTTATGCCCGATTGTCGCGGGAACGGGGTTTTAAAAGGTCGTCAATATGTGTTGGATGCTATAAATATTCATCTGAAAGTGAAGTGACTAATGAAGTGTTATTTAAGCCCGAAGTAATTATGGTAGAACTCCATCCAAAAGGAAATCTTTAAGTTCGAGTTTAACAACTCTTAATTGGACAAGAAATCTTAGCAACCAGTCTCACTAATTGTGAACTTGCCGTCAAATTACGTTGACTATAGCCTTCTTTATAAGATTAAACTGATGCATTGCAACACATCAATAACAGGATGAGAAGTTAGGGACTGTCACTTATAAAAGTACAGATTATAGGGCATAATCTATGAAATAATAGAAAAAGCAATGGGCTAATTTTCTATGAAAAAGACACCGTATATGAATTTTAGTGCGATGAGAAAAGCGTGGGAATTCCGCATTACTTATGATAGAATATGTTTTCTTCCTCCTACTTATGACCCATTTAGCATTTTGACGAACTCAGCTCACAAGATAAAGAAACTAATATTTTTCTTAAAAGAATTCCAAATATATATATTTAGTGCAATTAACAACAAATATTATTCTCACTCTCTCAACGATAACTCCTACAGAAAGACACCTGTAAAGTGACGACAACACAAACGCCCCAGCACAATCACTTTTCCTCCAAAGCCCTCACTTATTTTCATTCATTTTCATTAACACAATCTGTTGCAATTTATCTTGGCGAGTTTGCACTTGTTTGTCGCAACAGTCATAGCACATCACCGGGTGTGAAAACCCACAAGCATTACGGCAACTCGATGCTGCCTGGTAATTAATACTAAACGCAGTGTGGCCCATAAATGGACGCAACAATGAGACATTCGTAGACAACGCGTTGGTGCCAACGTTATTAGAGTTGGCTGGCAAATAGACGGACGGATGTAGAGATATACAAATATGGCAAATGACGAAGTTAGCCAAATCAAAGTTGAGCAAACTTACGCAAACTCTTTGGTGTGTTGGTGTAAGTGAATCGAACAAGCATATATTTGTACTGGTATGAAGAGAGTGAGACATACTTTTGTCCCGAACTGTAACTGAATCTGACAGCGAGTCTGACAGCGACTGTGGTTGAGTAGCTAACGAAATGACTGGTTCACTTAGCCAAATGAATGCCTGACTTAACTGGCGCACTGCCTGCTTGGGTGGCTGCTACCCCGCCCGCTATCCTCCTAACAACAGCACGTCACTTACAGCAAAAAGTCTCAACTTTGCCCATTTTGCAATAAATGTGATAAATTTCAAAATTTTCGCGGCTTTTCTTGGCAACTTGGCCGTAAGCATAAGTCGACACACAAGCACTTCGCCGCAAAATGTGATTGTGACAGTCGACTTGGAGCTTATTTTTGCCTAGTTATGCTAAGAAACTATAGAAGTATGGCATATACATATATGTGGAGGCACAATCATGCTTGAAAGGGGTAGTAATATATATTTTCTTGGTGGAGAACTAACTTACTTACTTACAATGACGGAGTAAGTTTCTTCTGAGCACTTTATTATTTGACATATGATTTTATGATATTCAAAAAGTTTATCGATATGAAAATGCTGTACCAAAACTTTCTAATGATATGATAGTTAGCACTGACTTGACTATGAAGTTTATGTTGTTTTGGGTGGTATTGAGTAGTAGTTAAATCAGTAAAATATTGAGAAATAGTTAGGTGTTACATAAATTACTCTTTTGCTACAATATATTTAAGTACAAGAATTACAAAGCCTTTGGAACCCAAATTAAGTCCGTAAATTACTATTTTGTTTGGAAGTGTTTCCGAACTGAGCTTTTGAAAGCCTGAAAAATTTCGAACTTTCAAATCTTATAACCTGTCAGTTAATTCTTAGTAATTATATTATAAGATTCAAATTGGCATTTTAAAATAGCCAACTGAAAAGGTATCTTTCTGGTATCAAATCTCGAGTATACAATATTGAAAACGACTTTTCATGAAACTTAATAATGCATTTATATTATATTGTGAGTGGTGCAAGCCGAAAAAGCAGCGTTCGTTAGAGCAGAGATACGCGATTAAATTCTGTGTGAAACTCAGTAAATCTGCGACAGAGACGTTTGATGTGATCAAGCAGGTTTACCCAGATGCTGCTTTAGCAAGAAGTGGGTTGTTTTGGTGAAAACGATGCTCATTGTCTTTTTTGACTTCAAAGCCATGGAAGCCCTCAGAGACTCAAACGAAGGGTCAATCAGGTCCAACAAGACATCGCAGCCGATTGGAAGTTGCATCACGACAACGCCCTGGCTCACAGCGCCTTTCTTGTGAACAGCTACCTAACCAAGGGCATTATCTCAAGTTTACTTGCCTAAAAAGGTCGATAAAAGACAAGCATTTTGAGACGATAGAGCATTCGACCCTTCAGACTATTCCGGAGAATGCCTTCCGTGACGCCTTCACTGCTTGGAAATGGCGGTGGAAGCGCTGCATCCACCCAGAAAGAGCCTATTTTGTAAATTTTTAAAAAATAATTTTTTTTTTTTTTTGTTTTAAATCGACTCAGTCCTATTACTTTCGGGAGCAACCCTGTCCTAAATATCATTGCGTTAGGTTATGGAAGCAGGAAATAGCTACACTCTTAATTTGATTTGAGATATCAACCGGATAAGTAAAACCTGCTTTTCCACTCGGCAGCTGGAAACACAATTCAGTTTTAAGCTGCCCTGTGGCATTTGG